GTTCCATATTTAATCAAAAGAAAAAATAGCACTGCTCGCTTAAATGAATCTCTTCGCACTGAATTTTATTGACAAATGTCTAACCTCTAAAATGCAGCCAGTTTCAGATGTCAAAATAAATTACACCTACAACTAACGTCATCTAACTGTGAGCCGCAGGAACTAAGTTTACCACCTAATATTAGATCTCGAGGAAGTGGATTGGTCTCGCGTCCCATGGTTTGTACCCCAAGCTCACTTCGCCGACCTGAGAGAGGAGGATTCGAAGGACAGCGTGACACCATAGGAAGCTAAAGCACGTCGTCCACCCTCGCCGAGAATCGCCGTTTAAAGGATCGCTGTTAACAGACTTTAACTCTCGATCTCACTAATAGCGAATTCGGTAGCTTGCACTAGTGCGCACTGAGTGCGCGCTAAGGCTTGTTTACAGTACATTCTTATATTTAACATCGTGTCTTAAATACATATTTAAAAATATTTTAGCTAATAGAATGATTCGTACGGATGTTGTATATTATATATACAATTATAAATATATTATTATTATTAATAATATAAATTAATATAATAATATATTAGGTGTACAACTTTGCTTCCACCGTTTTCCTATAGATGGCTTTAGCGGTAAGTGATGATCGAAATAAATAGATCATAGACGTCATACAATAAACTTGGGCATCTGTCAACATAACCCCATAGAAACAGTAATCGATTTGTGTCTGCATCATAAAGTTATTCTCGATTGAAAATGTCAGTTTACGAGCCAAATTCTCGTCATTTGCGGGAGGTTTTAATTTTCTGCTTCAATATGAAGAAATCTGCGGCTTACAATATTGTTGAAAAAATTATAATAACTTACAATAATGTTGAAAAAAATTATAATAACTTACACAAAAAGCACTTGGCGTGCCTTTTTTTATATGTAAACGGTTCTCTTATTTCAATAATTATCAAAATATTATATTGATCATCGATGTAATATTAAAAAAAGACACACCAAGTGCTTTTTGTGTAAGTTATTAAAATTTTTTTCAACATTATTGTAAGTTATTATAATTTTTTCAACATCATTGTATTCCTCTAATTATTTTATTTTTTATTTAATAATATGTTACTAATATATTAATAATATATTTAATTTATAAATATATTATATATATATTAATTTATAAATATATTATATAGACAAAACCACACATGTTTATAAAACTAAAAACTGAATGATTAATCATTCGTTATTATAATTTTTTTCAATATCATTGTATTTCTTTAATTATTTTATTTTTTATTTAATAATGTTACTAATATATTAATAATATATTTAATTTATAAATATATTATATAGCCAAAACCATATATTTATAAAAGTAAAAACTGAAATGATTAATCATTGGTACTTGGCGTAAACTTCTTGATATCATTACTTTTGTAGAGAGTATAAAATTTTCTTGTATCTTTCAATAGATAATGCTGACGCGCGTGCACTTGGCTTCTTTTTTTTACTTTTTTTGAAAAAGTAATTTTGTTTTTATATATATTCACAGTTACAACCACCAAAATATTTTAATCTTCTTCCTACAGCCGGTGCGTTGCAAAAACGCTCCTATACTAGCGAAACAAAATATCTAAAATGTCTTTATGTACAACAGTCACAACACATATAAGCATTATGAATTATTGTATAAAACTGCTTTAACTCGTTTTGATAATAATATCGAGTTTTGATAATATAATCGAGTAACATTATTAAGATAATCGCTAAAGAAATATTTCACAAGTTTCATAAAGCTAAACACATACGAATATCAATATTCGTATCGTTCATGGGAACGTAAAACAGATTGAAGTGAACATAAAAGTCCCATATTGTTTTACAATATTCGCAATAAATTTGGATATATTAATTAAAGAAAATTAGTGAATTAATCACAAGCAATGGTAGATTAATTATAGTGGTGCCGTTTGGCAAGCTAAACTAAAAAGTTCTCTACCATTTTGCAAATATAAATTTTTAGTTATTAATTAAAGAAGATTTGTGTATTATGGTGCAATTATATAACAATTTTCTTTCATTAATAACTAAAAATCTAATCTCAATTTTCTTTCATTAATAACTAAAAACGTATTCATTCGCAAAATAATAAAGAACTTTTTTGTTTAGTTTGGCATTATGTACACGACAGCACACATATCCACTATAGCTCATCTACTATATTGCATGTGATCATTCAACAATCTTCATTATAAAGCTCTTAAATATTCGAATAAATGACTGTCCGAGTATCCGAAATCGGTTTCGATCTGACACTTCAGAACTCCATTATTCAGGTATTCGCGGATTCGCGGATAACCCAAATCTAAAGTGTCATATTTATCCGCTATCCAAATAATCGGGTACTTGCATAATGTCAGATCCGATTAAATATTGAAGCCCTACTTCTTTAATTAATATCTCAAGATTTATTGCAAATATCGCAAAACGGTATAAGTTTTTGTCCGTCCTACGTTCCCACAAACATTGTGGAAACGAATTTGGGACACACATTCTATATGCACATTCTGTGACGTGGTGGCGTTTGAGCCCCGTCAGAAGGACGGCGGTTGCGGGGAGAGCGGCTGAAAGCGCTCCTCCCAGAGAGCCGACACCGAGATAGGATCCCGCGGGAAGAGACGGATCGCGGTCACAAGTAATAAATAGGCCAAGGTCGTACAGGAGAGCTCTTCTTCGCGAGTCTTCGGCCTGAGCGCTTAACATTCTCCGAAGCTAAATCTGCTTACCACGTAACGGATACCGCCGCGACAAGCACTCCTGGAGCAATTAGGATGCCTTCATATAGTCCGCGGACGTCAGGCGGATAACGTCGAACCATCGCGAACTCGCGAGATGGGCGATTCGCGGTCGCGAGTGAATGCTGCAACGGGAACACGAGAGCTACGCCGACAAGGGTGACCGCAGGAAGGACGAGAGGACTGCGGGAAGCCAGCAGGTCGACGGCATGACAACAAGATTCGTGGCTTGGCAGATGGCGACCAAGGGCCCATCGAGTCCGTAAGGAGCTCCATGTTCTTAGCGCGTAAGTCGGTACACCGCGGCGCCACTTTAAAAGACTGGCGGATAACGCGACAAACGGCGTACGCGCCGTTTGACTGATATCGTTCCGCGTAGGACTGCGGTTTCGCATTATAAATCGTCACGGGTCGTGCGTATGATTCTTGTATTCCGTGTAGCGTCGTAGTGTAGATAATAGAATAAATCGCTATATACAGGGTTGGCAAAAAGTCCGGAAACGGTCAAATATCTCGAAAAGGATCAACTTTAGCGAAAAATATGTAAGTAGCAAAGTTGTAGGACTTAATAAAGTGTACCTAATGATGGCTAAAAATTTGACTTTGGGTGGAGGACGAAGGTCACACGAAAGTCAAATTAAATTTTTTAAATTGGCCCCCCACTTTTTATTACATATTCTTGTAGCTTATTTCAAGGCCTTTCCAAAAACCTATAATAAAGTATTTTTTTATTAGACATATTTAGAGTTATGATGCTTGAAAGGATTTTTCTTTAACTGTTTCTATTTCGTAAAAACGTATCGTTGTCTTCTGAACGGTGGAAATAAAATTGCGATCAGGATATGCAGCATTGAATGTGTAGATCAGTTATTTCTTCGTATGATCTAATATGGTCTCCAAATTTTCGATAAAGAAACAGCATTATCTTTTCTTTATCGGTTAATATTTTTAAAAAAGAAATTTAAAATTGTAGTTGGAAAAAGAAAGGAAAAAGACAAAGAGTCTAGCTTGAGACACAAAAAACAAAGTTATTTTTGTTTTTCTCCTGTGTTTATGTTTTTTAGGCTTCCAGCCTAGTTGTTCATTCGCTCTT